AGTGCAATAATCTGTTATGTACATGTTACACAGGAGGGTGCAGTGTTGAGCTGGTCTAGAGAGTATGTTCTGTGTGAGAGTGTAATAATCTGTTATGTACATGTTACACAGGAGAGTGCAGTGTTGAGCTGGTCTAGAGAGTATGTTCTGTGTGAGAGTGCAATAATCTGTTATGTACATGTTACACAGGAGGGTGCAGTGTTGAGCTGGTCTAGAGAGTATGTTCTGTGTGAGAGTGCAATAATCTGTTATGTACATGTTACACAGGAGGGTGCAGTGTTGAGCAGGTCTAGAGAGTATGTTCTGTGTGAGAGTGCAATAATCTGTTATGTACATGTTACACAGGAGAGTGCAGTGTTGAGCTGGTCTAGAGAGTATGTTCTGTGTGAGAGTGTAATAATCTGTTATGTACATGTTACACAGGAGGGTGCAGTGTTGAGCTGGTCTAGAGAGTATGTTCTGTGTGAGAGTGTAAAAATCTGTTATGTACATGTTACACAGGAGGGTGCAGTGTAAAGCCGAGGTCACATCTTACGGTCATGAACATTGGTGACCGTAACTCATTTGAACGTAGTAACCCATGCTTGTCCTAAGAGGCGACTTACGGGATCGGGTGGTCAGGCTCGCTGACTTGGTTGACATGTCATCGGTTCCCAATTGCACAGATCGATGCTCATGCTCTTGATCACTGGATTGTCTGGTCCAGACACGATTATTTACAGACCGCCTCCATATAGCTGGAATTTTGCCGAGTGCGGCGTAAAACTAAACTCTCCAACTCACTCACAAGTACGGTCTACTACGGTCTACTACGGTCTATTACTGTCTACTACGTTCATTCCCCCACTACGGTCAACTACGTGCGTGTCCGTAAGATGTGACCGCCGCTTTAAGCTTGTCTAGTAAGTATGTTCTGTATAAGAGTGCAATAAACTTTGTTACGTACATATGCAGTTTAATGGGAAGCAGATCTAGTATATTAAAAAAGCTGGACAGTGTACGCGTCTTAGCTGTAAACCAAAAATGTTTTAAAGAAAGAACCAACAAAGAAAAGGGAAAAAATTAAATTGGTGATACGTTTAACAATTCTGTAATCTTACATTTCATGTATTGTGCTCGATTATATATGCTGCCTAAAGTGACCGATGGGATTGTCATATAATTGAAAAATGAAAACACGTAGAACTATTTGTTCATAAATTGTACATGATAATAAACTATTGACAGAAACCGTAGTCTTCGTCTTTCTAGCAGGTCTTTTGTATATTTGATTTTGCAAAGGTCTCGTTATAAGTACTTCAGGAGGATAGTATATGCAGTATATACATACCAATAATTTCTTGTCATAAGCAATGTGTATTTATAACCTTCAGGAGGAGTGAGCCCTGCTTAAACGATTCAAACAATACGTGCTTATATATGGTATTGTCGACATCGCACAATGAAATCTATTCATAACTGATATTTTGTCTATTTGTGGGAACTGTTTTATCGTTATTTATCGGTTAAACGATTTTGAAAAATACGTTCGTGTTATAACTGTGTATAACTTTTTAAAACTGTTTGTGAAAATTGTTATCATTAAATGCTTATGTCTTACCAATAGAGAACTCTTACTGTATTAACTGTACTTTTCTGTTTCATTTTCAGTATATTTTAGTACAGTCTAGCAGAACAACTGAACTTGACACAGTTGTTTTAACGGCTTCGACAATGAGTTGTATATGCTAAAATATTTATTCGCCTACTTATCCTTGTATCAAATGACAGTTGGCATGACAGCATAAACCTCTTAAAGCTAGTGGCAGTGTTGAGGTTGGTCGGGAAAACCATCCAGGGTCGAGCTAAAAATAGGGTCTTGACTGGGAAAACCCAACTCTCTCGTGGCTCTGCCAGACAGAAGAGCTGCTAGCCGTGACCATTGCTCTCGTTCATGTAATGCTAGATATGTGGATTGTGTTACCATACTTGGAGTGATGGAGTGTCAACACAGACTCTGGACCGTGTTAAGGTATGGACATGAGATTTCTAGCAGACAGTTCATTTGGTGAGAGTTTCTATTGATATTTCAAATGCAGCTGATCATTTTAGACCTCAGACAAGTAATCAGATATATATATCGAGTCATAGTGATAGCAGCCAGGGTTTGTGATACACAAGATCACCTATGTAGATGTCGGTGATACAGCATTATAGGTGATACACCTAGGTATGTGTTGTGCCAAGGTACGTGATACACCTAAGAATGTGTTGTGCCAAGGTACGTGATGCACTAGGACACGTGATGTACCAGGGTAACTGATTCACTGGGACACGTGATGTACCAGGGTAACTGATGCACTGGGACACGTGATGTACCAGGGTAATTGATGCACTAGAACACGTGATGTACTAGGGTAACTGATTCACTAGAACACGTGAAGTACTAGGGTAACTGATTCACTAGAACACGTGAAGTACTAGGGTAACTGATTCACTAGGACACGTGATGTACCAGGGTAACTGATTCACTAGGACACGTGATGTACCAGGGTAACTGATTTAATGGGACACGTGATGTACCAGGGTAACTGATTCACTAGGACACGTGATGTACTAGGGTTACTTATATACTGGGACACGTGATGTACCAGGGTAACTGATACACTAGGACACGTGATGTACCAGGGTAACTGATACACTAGGACACGCGATGTACCAGGGTAACTGATTCACTAGGACACGTGATGTACTGGGGTAACTGATTCAATGGGACACGTGATGTACCAGGGTGACTAATATACTTAAGTACGTTATGCAGAAAAGGCATCTGGTGCATTAGGGTACACAATAACCCAGGGAACATTAGTCATTCGGTAAAGTGATACACTAAGGTACGTGATACACTCGGGTACTTGATACAACAGTGCGCAAGATGGACCAGCTGCAGTTTGTTTGATACACCAGGGTACATGATATACTGGTACTCGTGTTCCACAAAGGTAGACCACTTAACTTGATACACGATGCAAGGGACACGATGCACAAGAGGCGCCATGCGCAAGGGTACACGGTCCACCAGGAAGAGTGGCACACAAGGTACATGATACGGTTAGGTACATGATACATGGTGAGTCCGTCATGCACCGGGGTACATGATCCAACCTTAGACTTATTTCAGCAGGTACATGATACAACAGGGTACGTGATACACCAGGGTACATGATACAAGGGTTCACTGTACGTGATACACTGGGGTACCTAACACATCTGTTTACCTCCAATTCCAATTCCAGTTGCGCAATGACAGCAGAGAATATTCTGATAAAAGGACATGTCTTAAAGATCATCAAAGTATTTAACATATGATAATGAAGTGGTCAAGTGTTGATTTAAAAAGAATTACTGTCGCAGACTTCCTCGTAGCGCATTAATATGACGTGACCACCACTGAGAGCTTTGTATCAATCTGGTTCACAGGGAGGGACTTGTTACACATGCTGACACTTGCCACCTTGAGGGTTAGCAGGTATTAACTTCCCGCGTGAGAAATGCTTACATGTACATGACTATAAGCTGACATGCCATATATTCGTTACCTCAAGGACCCTACATTCTGTTGCCAGTCTGTAATCCATGAGAAGTAAAGAATAGGTTTCGCATGGACCTGGTTATCACAACAAGTTGGTGACGAGAAGTCATTTATCAGCACTTTCAGACAAAGGTTACAGGATATCTTTATCCAGGATTGACATTTGTCTATTTCTACCTCAGGTTATCTGTCATTATACTCTGGATTTAAAACTGATTTTAACACAGAAACATATATTACTTGTCTCCAAGACAAGTCTTTGGTACGTGCATTCTGTAAATTCAGAATAGCATTGAACAATCTGAAGGTAAATGCATACAGGAAGGAGAAACAACAGTACGACTATACCATCTGCTGTGAACATTGCATGGATCTCAACATCGAAGATGAAGTTCACGTACTATTTTCCTGTCCAAAATATTCTGCACTTCGAATGAAATATTTACCTTGGTTAACTTCTGTTGTGCCAAACAAATGTAACTTCATCAAACTTATTTCTTCACAAAATCCACAAACAATCAAATTACTATCATTATATTTGAAGCATGTATTTAATCCACTCCGTTCTTAATTATAAGTTTTGTGTATTATATCACCTCCACGTGACAAAATATAATATTCTGCTGTAATTGTACCTTAGGTCATAAGGCCTGTAGTATTGAATAAACTAGTCTGAGTCTGAGTCTGAATATCTACATAATCTATGAAACATTTGTTATTATGAAATGTATCTTACTCATGCTTAGTGTGGAAGCAGTGGTATAATTATTAGGGTGATAGATTAGCACTAATATTGAAGCCTAATAGTGTAGATTTATTACATCCAACATTAAAATGCATCAAGATAATTTCTTAAATGGGACCCTTGTACTCTACAGTATTACTTCACTCTTGCTTGACAAAGGTATAAGGATCACTACCAAAACATATATCTGAAGCACAAATTATAATTTGTTTATTGTCATCAAGAACAGCATTGGCAAAGGAACCATTATAAGACACTCGTGGTCGTATTTTCACGAAGGACAGTTTGAAGGCAATAGATTCTAAGATAGTCTTTGTTCTTCTTCCTTTCCATTCCTTCATTCATCCTACAATTGTTCTGTGTTTCTGCAAATCGTTGTGTCCATTATCCCTCTAATTATCTAAGTTCAAACTGGGTGCAATAACGGGAAGCTGATTGCGTAAAGTCGTTAAACAACACTTAATGTATGTGCTGTCTGTATCAAATATACGTCTGTTTACATCGACAACACTTGGAACTACAGCACGTATATATTCATGGACGTCGTGGAGTGAAATACCTTCATACAGTTCACAATGCTCACATCAATTCTATAAATTGTCCAGCAATTTAACCAGGCAATGTTACCAATTACATATTAGATCGCTAATCTTCACCCAAAATGCGTTTATGTCTGTAGTGAAAGCACAGCTGGTACTATAGACATTGATGTAACTATTGACATAGCATTGCTGTTGTAGACATGGGCACACATCTCGGATCTTCCATAACAAACTTCACCCACAATATTCCCTGGGAAATTCCCTCATGAATATGCACAGCTTTTCAGCATGATGTCATGCAGCTGTGGAAAGGCCAGGAGGGGATTTTTCTGTTTGAGCCACATAACCCAGAACTGCACGCAGACCTGTAGGATGGCTTCAGTGTGCAGGGGTTGGTATATGTGCAGTGCGGCAAATCGCCATCACGGGTGATGTATGTGACGAGTCTGGTAGATAGGTGTTATCGTCCTGGTGCGTGTCTGAAAATATGTGATTTCTAAGAAACATATTAACTTAATCCTGCATCTGGATTTGCAGTTTTATTTCAAGAATTGCCAAAGATTTTACTTCGAATAAAACTGCAAGGTTACTATTCGAGAGATTACATATGTCGTTCTTCAGTAGTTATTGCAAGGTTGGTAGTGCGAGCTGTGACAGGGACGATACAGCGACGGAGATGGCCACGGCGGAGATGATGAGGCACGAGACAATGCGGCTCATGACGTACACAAAATGGCCGTCGTCGTCCTCACAGGATCCTGCCAGGCTAGCCGAAGCTGGTTTCTTTTACACCGGAAGTGGCGATCGTGTGAAATGTGCCTTCTGCCTTGGGGTGCTCAAGATGTGGAAACTGGATGATATCCCCCTTACAGAACACCAGAGTCACTTCCCTTACTGCAGGTTCCTCCAGGGCAAGGAAGTGGGAAATATTCCGTTAAGTCAAGGAAACCCTAAAGAGGTCGCAGAAACAACATATCAAGGAAGGGGGAACAGTCATGCGTTAGTTCCGTGTTGCGAAATCCAAGGTAGTGTATTACCTAATGCACACACTTCAACAGAAGAAGCACTAGCAGGAACGTCAGGCTTACCCCTTAAACCACCGCAAGACATTATACTTCCCTCAGAGGCTCTTAATACGCTCTCAAATATCCAGAACAAAGCTCCATCTGAAGTTCCATCTCCTTTTGAAGTTCCATCTCCTCCCATTGTCCCAGACTTTACCCGTGAAGTTCATCGTCTAGCAACCTTCTCCAAATGGCCAGAAGAGTCCACGGTTTCACCTGAAGATCTTGCACGTGCAGGGTTTTATCACGAGCCCCAGGACACCAAGCCTGACCGTGTGAAGTGCGGGTACTGTAGGGGTAAGGTGTACGGGTGGCAAGCTGGAGATGACCCGTGGATGGAGCACGCCAGATGCTTCCCTACATGTCCATACATAAGGCTGTGTCTCGGGGAGGAGATGCTTCAGGACATAACAGCTTACATGGTTGAGTCAGGCAGGTGAGTCGTTCACAACATTTACTGGCAGGATAGCCCTGAACTACAATACGAAGGTATAAACACTGGTACACTAAAGACCATCGACTACGGCGGTCTGATATTCTGAGAACATGAATTAGAAGAATCCTTCTTGATAAAAATTAACCGTATCAAATGTAAGTCCATCAAGGGCGTGTGTTTTGATGTTGTTTAGTGGTAAGTGATGTATTAATTAAAAGTCACTTGTTATGACATCGAGTGAACAGTGATAAAATAAACTACTTTAAGAACTAAACCATATAGGGCACTGTTGTGTTCAAAGTATTTCACGAAAATATGAGAACTTAATCTAGTATGGTCACAATGCTGCAAAACATGTAAGTTAATATCAAACATCTGCTTTTAAAACATTATCTAATTTGAAACTTTGAAAACATAAAGATCGCAACTATCATAATGATCCTATATTTGAAACTCAGTTGATCAATAAGTGTATTTGTTTGGTAGAAATGTAAATTTCAAACATGGTAAGGGTCATGTCTTACCTCTGTCTTCATTGAAACAATTAGTTTTGCTCAAACGTATCCAGATTACTTTTCAGAAACTGTAAGAAGTTGTGATTAATGGTTGAATATACATAGCCAATTTTGCCAACTGTTCCGTCCATTTTCAATTACATATAAAACAAATTCAATATACTTTCTTCATACATTTTCGATTGTACCCAAACAGTTGTGAAATGCAGACCCAAAGGATTGTAGCGGCTAGAATCTTGCTCGATATGAAAGGAAAGTGGACAATTGACATATTTTTCTTGTCACTCTGAATCTTTCGACATGGATGTAGCTATGATTGGATTTCACGGGTTTCTGATATTTCTAACTCAGATGGGTATGGCAATGGAAGGGAATCGTATATTTGATCACTATTGATCAATCTCTGATCATCGATATACCTTAAGCTTTAAAGTTCAAAGTTTACCTGATGAATGGGCAAGAATTAGCTCTGAAAATTGGTATTAAAATAAACAGGAGTTATTATCCATAAAACGTGTTATGTGTTCTGATCTGGGTTCTTTCTCCTGAGAATGCAACATCTCAAGCAGATTATGAGAAACCACATTGTGTCAATTGTACTTGTCTCAAATACATTCTTTAAATATTAAGAAAGCCTTTCTTGGACTGTATTCAATATAATGGTTTATCGTTTAGAAAGGTATTTGGAGGTTTATTTGTTGGAACCAACATATCTCTCTTTGCCCAGATGTTTTATGGAACGTTTAAATCCAGTAAAATGAAATGGGCATATCTTGGGGTTTAACAAAAATACTTCAGTGATTATTAACGTAAGTGAACTATCCAAGCATATTAGATGCACAAACACTTGCTGTTAAATCCATTGCTTCTATAATTTATGAGCGACTAAGCATGATTATTGAAAGGGTGTCGCTGCTTTTAGCTTTTTGAAACACAACCTATTTCACAATGACAGTGATGTATCTGTCACTGAGACTTCATTCTTCATACATCACATTTGAGAGTTTTCTTGAAAAGTATTGTGTGACACTAAACGTGAAGTAACTCCAAAAGACATGTCAGCAATTTGTTGTGGATGTGGAAAGGGTTTTGTCGCTGTTATTTACCTTTCAAATTCAAAACTAAATAATACAATGATAGTAGAACTGTTAGACTTGGTAGTACATGTATTTGGGAAAAAAGTTGGTCTGAAGATGATTACCACTTTTGTGATATGTCCAGTGCATAATGATTCAAGAGCAAAATATCAATAGATAATTGTACCTTCATGCAAATGTTAATACACGTTGATCACAAAGTTAGAACGTAACTAGCATGTATTTGTATATATAATGGTGTCAAACCATGAAGTTGTAAGACCCATCAGACAATGCTCTATTGGACCGTGGTCTCATCATGAATAACTGACTGACTGACTGACTGAGTTTGGTTTTACGCCGCTTTTAGCAATATTCCAGCAACATCACGGCGGGGACACCATAAATGGGCATCATGAATAAACCTTGTTTGATAGTCCTTACTGATCACAGTCCAATAGCAAAACGAATTATTTTATATTTTATACTTTTTGTAAAATTAACAAATACGTTATATAAAAAATCCCATGCCTTTATATAACATTCCATGTCTTTATCCTATATATGTGATGTGTATATGATAGATAGTAAGCACATCTGTTACTCTACAGACGTTTTCCCCCTGTTGTTATAAGTAGATCATTGCGAACTATTTTTGTACAAGGAATTTACAGGATCTGGATATAAGTACTCACTTTATTGTCATAGCTATTTGTTTACAAATTTAGGACATTTGTAAATTTATCTTGTTAATTAAAGTCCACTAAGACTCGATTCCACAATAAAGAAGAACATGTCTACAACAATATATTCCTTCTTGACCACGCCCTTTCTACAGATGAAAAAGGTTTCTGAAAAAATACTCTAAATGTAGCTGAACACGTACATTATTAAGTGGTTAGAAAAGTGCACTGAACATCTCCTATCCTTCCAGACACACATACTACGACTACGACTACGACCAAGACGACTCCCCACTACTACTACTACTAGATAGAACATCATTCAATACCAGACTAAAACTTTTCTGATAAATATTGTGTAGGAAAAGTACCATGGTCTAAAGTTTCTCTACAAACCTTTCTTGTATTTTGCAGATGAGAATGTTGTATCAAGTCTGTTCATTTAATAAACACAAATGCATTCGGCCAGATGTTTGGATGAATGTCCCTTAACATCATTGTCATGTCAATAATTTGCCAGTCGTAAAATAGAAAATGGTTTTCAAAATATTATATTTCCATTTACAGCTGATAAGTCACGCAAGATGTCTTCCTTCCACTACACGTCTAATTTCATGGGGTTTTTGTTGGCAATTTTCAGTTACCTTAAGAAAATAATACCCTAGAAAATGTTCTATTAATTAATTGTAAGTAATGCTGTATTGGACCGTGGTCTCACTCATGAATAACTGACTGACTGACTGACTGAGTTTGGTTTTACGCCGCTTTTAGCAATATTCCAGCAACATCACGGCGGGGGACACCAGAAATGGGCATCATGAATAAACCTTGTTTGATAGTCCTTACTGATCACAGTCCAATAGCAAAACGAATTATTTTATATTTTATACTTTTTGTAAAATTAACAAATACGTGATATAAAAATCCCATGCCTTTATATAACATTCCATGTCTTTATCGTCGGTTTTGCCGACAGACATTTATCCCCTTAATCAGCATGTTTTTACACATGCAATTTGTGCTTTTCGTATCTGTTGTGCATGTATTTTGTTGTTGTCATGTGATGTGTTCCATGACGTGTTCAGGCAATCCGTTCTTTACTGTACAGCATTATTTATTGTCTTTTGTGTTATTAACAACAATTCCAACGTTCATTTTCACTCTCAAAACAATCCTATTACCATATTTCAAAATTTACAGGTGGTGCGTTTTCAATGATGTTCAGTATATAATATATTATAGATATCCAGGTCATTGGAAATTTATTTATTATAATGTTCATGAGAGTCTCTTTATTGATAATGTCCAATATATGAAAATTATATCAGCATTATCAAGTTGAAGTCAACAAGTAATCACCACATTCACGCTCATGTGCGCTCTGGTACGTGATACATTAACTGTTTTGATGAATGAAAACTGAATGGATCAAGGTTTAATAACAACATTAAGGAAATGTGTATATCATGGGCAAAGGGGTGTGTTTTCTTATTTGATTTGTTCTAAATGAGAAATATTTAGTTGTTCCGATTATATGATGCTCTTGGGAGAAAAGTTCCTCAATTGGCAACAACCCCACTGGGCTACTTAAGATAAATAGTGGAAGGAGCTGTGGTTTAGTGAATAGAGGGTCTGTATGTCCGGGGAGAAAGGTCGGTGGTTCGAGTCCCGGTCTCGTTTTGCGAAAAGATGTTAAAAGACGGGACTTGTTGTTACCCTGCCTGCCTCTAGGTATTAAAGGGATAAAACAAGGACTGGTCGGCTCGGAATCAGTATAATGTGTACCAGTCGGGCATCTGCTATGTGGTATGCTGTATGATAAACTAAAAGCAAATACTAAATCTCTACTAAAAGCAAAGTCGACTGTGCAATTCCAGAATGAATCACTGGTGAAAGTTATATTGTAGAATGAATTGCGTTGAGTATGTCACTTGATACGCTTGTTGAGTGTTATGACAAGGTTGCTATACAAAGCATAACGTTACTTACATGTTCCAGTTGCTGAGCCGGACCACGACCATCACAGATCCTGATTCAGCACACTTCATCGTTACCGCCGGAAGTGGACACAAGGATCTGACCTGGCTAATTAGACGCAATTACATACTTACGTCGTAGATGTGGTCCATGTTGTCACGATGGTGTTACTGAAGCTGCAGCGTAGTTCGTGAAGATCTTCCAAGGAAAATCTGATGTCAGCTGTGTTTCGAAGGAAGCGTTTTCTACGAACCAGTTTTGGCGTTACCTTATTTTGTTTCTGTCAACCAAACACGCACGAGGGTTTCCCAGATTAACCTTCAACAAAGGCGTGATTACATAACTGTTATCCTTCGCACATGAATTAGTGAAATACAACCATGCTCAATACATTTGTTTGTTTCTTGTTTAACGCCATATACTGCAATATTCCATCTCTGTGACGTATGTCCGCAAACGAGATTGTGATCTCGCATCAGCAAGCCAGTCCACCCCATTACGTCAGTCACCGCTTGCGACAAGCATGGGTTGCTGAAGACGCGGATCTCTCATGTCCAATACATTTTAATTTGTTTGGTAATGCCAACATTCGAATTATAGTTTTGAAGCCAGTATATGTGTGAATTTAAAACAAAACAATTTCCTGTTAAAATATGTAATAAAGCGGAACAATTTCTATTTTGATGATCTGTGATCAGCATTGAACATGGTCGTTGAGGAACACCTTCAGACTGGAGTCACAGTGACAGCTTCACGCCATCATTAAGCTCCACTTAACCTGAATCAGTTGCACGTACCCTCATTCAGCTTCAAACACGTTCATTCAGCTTGGCATACCAACATTCAGCTTCACATACCATCATTCAGCTTCACATACCCTCATTCAGATTCACATACCCTCATTCAGATTCACATAGCTTCACATACCCTCATTCAGATTCACATACCCTCATTCAGCTTGACATACCCCCTCATTCAGCTTCACATACCCTCATTCAGATTCACATAGCTTCACATACCCTCATTCAGATTCACATACCCTCATTCAGATTCACATAGCTTCACATACTTTCATTTTGCCTGACATACCCTCATTCAGCTTCACATCCTCACTCTGCTTCTTCCCCTCATTCAGTTTCACATACCCTCATTCAGATTCACATAGCTTCACATACCCTCATTCAGCTTCACATACTTTCATTTTGCCTGACATACCCTCATTCAGCTTCACATCCTCACTCTGCTTCTTCCCCTCATTCAGATTCACATACCCTCATTCAGATTCACATAGCTTCACATACCCTCATTCAGCTTCACATACTTTCATTCTGCCTGACATACCCTCATTCAGCTTCACATCCTCACTCTGCTTCTTCCCCTCATTCAGTTTCACATACCCTCATTCAGATTCACATAGCTTCACATACCCTCATTCAGCTTCACATACTTTCATTCTGCCTGACATACCCTCATTCAGCTTCACATCCTCACTCTGCTTCTTCCCCTCATTCAGTTTCACATACCCTCATTCAGATTCACATACCCTCATTCAGCTTCACATACTTTCATTCTGCCTGACATACCCTCATTCAGCTTCACATCCTCACTCTGCTTCTTCCCCTCATTCAGATTCACATACCCTCATTCAGATTCACATAGCTTCACATACCCTCATTCAGCTTCACATACTTTCATTCTGCCTGACATACCCTCATTCAGCTTCACATCCTCACTCTGCTTCTTCCCCTCATTCAGTTTCACATACCATCATCAGTTTCTCACATAGCTGATTTTACTGCATTCAACATCTTCTCGGGATGTACACAACAGAACACTTATTGGTCATTTCCTAAGAAGAAAGTTGCAACCTTTGTAAGATACTTTATCAGTCACTTCTCAAGCATGTAACTGTATTCATTATTAGTTTCTTCTTGATATGAACAGAATGACTGATTGATCGTATTGGCATGTTTCTGGGCTTTTCCTTGCCCCTTCGTCTGGTGAATAAATGTTGTGTATACAATAAAGAGGAAGTGGACGTACATAATGTTTCGTCGTATACTTGAATAGCAACTTCTACATGCCTCCCAAAAATGTCAGGTTGTATCAGTTGATGGGGGAAGGGACCAAGATCATGGCCATTTATAATGTATGGAACTGACAAATGTGCCAAATTTGGGTTTTAAACCAACATTCATACATTTTTGGGGCACAGTGACCCTCATGTTAAAACAAACATGACACATTGTATTGAAATTAGTTAAAACCTGTAAAAAAAATACTTGTGAAAACAGGTATGCTGCCTGGCTTTCTTCGAAAATAAGCAGTCATACTGGATGACGGTTTCATTTTACTGAAACTGTTCTGAACAACACATGTCTAGTAGACTGAACATCAACACATTCAGTAGGATAAATGCATTTTATTTACATATGATATAACTGTTTATACAACTTTTTATGTGCAAATAAATTAGATACTGCAATGTAATATGACAGATACACTTCATATCTCACCCAGCTAACATAGCACTAGAGCATGCTAGGTCTAGCTACAGAACTCAAGAACTTGAGACTAATGCTGATAGAACAAACGCAAACAGAAACAAACATTTAACAGAAAAAGAATAGATTATGAAACATGTTAGCAATATATTAATTTTCTAATCTATTTTATCAATCTGTTTCCAATTGTTGTAATGTTCAAGTTTATATTCTTTCTTTTCAAACTTTGTTTTTGCTCAAATGGGCCAAAATAAACATCACTTACCATTTTCAGTACAGATATAAACACATTTTTTTTACAAAAACCTACAACTGGTTTGTGTTTATTTCTAACAAAAATTGCTTGTCATGGTTACATACACTTCATAAAAATGTTGATAACAGGACATCCATTTGTATCACTTTCATGCATGCTAATTCAAAACAAACATTGTTTGCTGGTGGACTCAAATATTCCCTTTAACAAGTTAAAACTCAAACCATGTTATAATCATCATCTCACAACCAAGGCCCAATAAATATATAACCATAATAGAAAAATGTCCTGTATTCATTACACATTTTCTAACGTTATTTCACTCGAGTAAAAGACCAATTTTCTTTTTCAAGAAATACATAATATTTCATAATAAATGTAAGAACTTTGACCATTCCCATTGCCAGAATACTTTTACATCATCCTCACACCTATGGTGGATGCTGGAAAACTGCAGAAAAACAGGTCTTCTGTTACACCACTTATATGAAATATCTCATTAAAATAGAACCTTCAAGTTTCAGATGTCATGGGGTGAAAAGAAAATTAAAAATTGCATATTATAAGCGAAGTAAGCAACGTCTTTCATTCATAAAAGCCTAAAAAACCAAAAACCCTACTTCATCAAGTAATCAGTTCTCTCATGCGCAACCAACTAAAATAATCAAAAGATCAAATATCACAAAATAAATGCAATCATCAGATCAGGACTAGCTAAAGATGTTGGTAAATATTGTTTCTCTCTCTACAGGTAGGTCCATGACTTAACAACACTGACCAATGTAGCCATGGTAATATGGTTTTAGACACAAGATGATCACAAGTCCACCTGGTGCATCAGGATGTCACATTGAACATTGACAGATCATTCCACTGAGATCTCTCTTTTAAAGAAAACCAAGCTTAAATGAAACGAAACAATAAATCAATATTCATTCTAAAAGACACTCATGGTAAGAACATCAGACAGCATATAATCTGTGTCAGTTTAGATCATATAGAATTTTCACTAATTAACAGAATTTTATGAGGTTTCTTCAATATCGCAAAATACCTCTTCATGATCAGTATTTTAACAACTATGTAAATTTAAACAAATAATTTGGATCATTAAATTAAATATTTTTTAGTTTTTTATTTAATAATTAAATATATACAAAAGTATATTATATATTATATCATACATAATTATGTTGTATGTATAAATGATTCTAAGGTTGACAGAAATGTCAATCAAAATTTGTCAAATTGAAATTAAGCTCAAATCATGAATTGCCCACTGCTTTAAGACACACGTCAGATAAAACTTGTTAATATCACTGGGGCTAACTGTCACACTGGACCTGATGCTGAGTGACACTGACACGACACACAGCTATTAACAGCATATATCACAGACGTGTACAGCCACGTCACCCTCCGCTGGTAAAAATAGTGCAGTGTAACGGGAAACACAGCTGGGGAGTTTTGTGAGCAGCACATAGCTCTACAAGGATCAACATAACAAGGCAGGTCACAAAACCCTCCATCATAACTGTCAATCAAAGGACACTTTTGAAATTACTGTTTACAGATTTTAAAATTAAACATGAATGTCAAGTCTTTTCTTCTTTAACTGGCTGAACCTGGTACAACGTTTCATCGCATCTATTTTAATAAAGAAGTTGTCAATCCATAAAATTTGTTCCTCTTTATCAAGTCTTTGTCATTACTGCTATTTTTATATTCCAATTCTTTATAATTGAAATATCTTCAGAGATTTCAAGTACCCAAGAAATTTCTTGATTCTGACATTTCATAACTGCTACAATAAGTTCTAGATATATCATATCTTAATGTCACTTTATGATGAAGATGCATCTGTTGCACTCAAATGTTGATTGTCATTTCAAGAGAACTATTTTAAAAAGTTATATACGAACTCCTCTGAAATCATTCTAAAGTTGAATAGTGACACAAGTCATGTACAATTCTTTGATAACCTCTTCCAAAGGGAAAGTAGGAAACAGCTTACTTTCATCCTCAGAGTGAGTTTTAATTTTGTCAGCAACAAAATATCAATATGTTTACCTCAAGCATACTCATTAACATCCAGGTCAATCAAACAGCGTCATATCTTCATGTAAAGCATATGTTCATAAAACCCATATGTACAAATAACATTATTGTACAAAAATAGCTAAAGGATAGTCATCTTAATACAATTAACCTGTACAATGTCAGCTGAATCAACCTTTAGTACAATCCGTTGAACCAACCAGTAACACTTTACACTTTCTTCAATCATGTATGAAAACAAGTTGTATGTCAACTCAGAACTAAATGATTATAGGAAATGAAGCATAACTTACTACCTAGATGGTAGATAATTAGGAGTTTAAGATTACACTATATCTCACACCACCAAGCCTGTATACCGGTATAGAGTGACCGTATCACACACAAGCTAGCCTTAATACAGTATTTACATTGCACGATGGACACAAGGCTGTACAGCACACCTGAGGTAAAGTTGTCTGGTGTACAACTATGAATGAAGACCAAAACCTCATCCACAGTCTTGAAGTATAATGAAATACTCTAAATGCCTCTCAAGAAAGTCTTGAAGTACTCCATGATGAGAGACACTCTGTAAGTCAGTCACGCTGAAGGTAGAAAAATCCATCAGATCCAGTCTTCGATACGTTACACAGTGGTTTTAGATTTTCAAAGTGCAACATGAACCTCAAGGGTCCTTGTCCTGACAAGTTAAATGATCGTCATTGAGAGTGTCCAGAACGAACCTCCTGGACCTCTTCAATGAGGTCCCCTGCACCTTCAGCTGGCTATCTCTGGGATGAATCATCCAGAGTCAGATTATTGCATAAATATATGATAGCAGGGTTCTAATGATCTACGGTGTCATGATAAGGTTCTTCGTTTATCGTGATTGATATCTGCCAGAAGGTTCATAACAGGTGAACAGAGCAACACTTTCATTACCAAAGTTCACATCCCAGACTTCAGCACCAACAACTGATCACTACAGAGCCTTGCCACGAATCTGGATAACCTCTGTATATTGAGCAATGCAACACATCTATGAGTCTTGGTAACTTCTATGTACATGCATAGCAATGCAATACATTCAGGTGTCTTAATACCCACTGTATACAGAACAATACCACATATTCAGGTGTCTTGATACCTTTTGTATACAGAATACCACACATTCAGGTGCCTTGATACCTTCTGTATACAGAACAATACCACACATTCAGGTGTCTTGATACCTTCTGTATACAGAATACCACACATTCAGGTGTCTTGATACCTTCTGTATACAGAATACCACACATTCAGGTGTCTTGATACCTTCTGTATACAGAATACCACACATTCAGGTGTCTTGATACCTTCTGATACCTTCTGTACCTATACAGAATACCACACATTCAGGTGTCTTGATACCTTCTGTATACAGAATACCACACATTCAGGTGTCTTGATACCTTCTGTATACAGAATACCACACATTCAGGTGTCTTGATACCTTCTGTATACAGAATACCACACATTCAGGTGTCTTGATACCTTCTGTATACAGATACCACACATTCAGGTGTACACCCTCTGTATACAGAATACCACAGATTCAGGTGTCTTGATACCCACTGTATACAGAATACCACACATTCAGGTGTCTTGACACTGTATACTTCCACACATGGTGTCTTGATACCTTCTGATACAGAATACCACACATTCAGGTTCTTGATACCTTCTGTATACAGAATACCACACATTCAGGTGTCTTGATACCTTCTGTATACAGAATACCACATATCTTGATAGGTGTGTATTGAATACCACACATTCTGTGTCTTGACACCTGCTGTATACAGAATACCACACATTCAGGTTTCTTAATACCTTCTGTATACAGAATATCACACATTCAGGTTCTTGATACCTTCTGTGTAAACAGCAAAGCAACACATCTTGGTGTCTTGATAGCTTCAATATAAAGAGCAATGCCAAGCATTCAGGTGTCTTGATAGCTTCAATATAAAGAGCAACGCGACACATCTAGGTGTGTTCATAGCCTCAATATAAAGAGCAATGCCACGCATTCAGCTGTTTTGATAGCTTCTGTATAAAGAACAATGCCACGCATTCAAGTGTCTTGATAGCTTCAATACAAGAGCAAAACAACACATCTAGGTGTCTTGATAGCCTCTATATAGAGAGCAATACAACAGGTGTCATGATAGCTTCTGTATAAAGAGCAATACAACACATCAAGGTGTCTTGATAGCCTCTATAGAAAAAACAATGCAACATACCTAGGTGTCTTTATAGCCTCTAAACACAGTGTCTGATACCTGCATATACGCAGCAATGCCACATATCTAGGTACCTTGATAATGGATCATCCAGTGGATGTATGCTGACCTCCCTTCTGCAGCCAGCTCTATCAAGTTGATACATAGCTGTCTCAATGCTTGTACCTCACACCTGACATGCTGCTACAAGCGTATGGTCCCTATGTCTGTTTCTAACTCACACATACTCAATCCACATGGTACAACCTTGAGAAAGTACTGGCACCAGTGTTTGCCAATCAATTTGGTACATGATACATGATATGGTAATATGATTGAATGTACACGCTATACATGGTACAACCTTGGTATGATATTTTCACCAGTGTCTTTTGGATACAACCAAATCCACTCCATATGGTACACATATACATGGTAGATGACACACAATACAACTTGGCTGTTGGTAAGAGCTCATTGAACACTGCTTGCTCACATGACACTATCAGGACAAACTGTGGTACTCAGGAGTAGCTCGACTCCTTACCTCCTTGATCAAATCCAACACTGTTACTCTTGTCGGGAAATTTGTCACATGTCAAGATATCCTGATAATTTCCAGAAGTAATCAAACGAAAGGAACACTCACTTCATAAAATATTCAATTATTATATGTGTGTCGATGGTGAAAATGGACTTTCCAGCTCTCATGACCTTGGTGTAATCCACACAGCATCCTGTCCCCTTCACACACTGTCCAACTGATGATGTCAGGGTTGGAGTCCTGAAGCTGCTGCTGTTGATGTCAGAGGAATACACAGTAGAGGTGCACACAGCCATTGATATGAAGCACACACAGGGGACATCTACACCAGTAGAGTTTCAGTATCATCAACAGGCTTGTCACTCAGTTCAGGAGAAACCTACTTGGAGACCTATTCAGAGAGTGATGGAAGAGTCTGTGACAGAGAATGGATCCACAATGCGTTTTAGCAAAAGTCAAACATTGTCACCAGGATCCATGTTGGGAATCAAACGCTGGCTTCGGCAAGACAAGCGACAAGCGACCTCTTTAACCACATGGCCACCCCATGACTCCAGTCAGCGGAGAAGTAGACAAGAACAAAACCATCAGAGAGCAAGGCGAGAACAGTTTTGTTGTCTATCTGCCACATGTCCCACCAGCCATCACTCCTTCAGTGAGAGCAAGGCGAGAACTGATTTGTTGTCTGTCTGCCACATGTCCCACCAACCATCACTCCTTCAGTGAGAGCAAGGCGAGAACTGTTTTGTTGTCTGTCGGCAACAAGTGCCACCAGCCATCACTCCTTCATCGAAAGCAAGGCGACAACTGTCTTGTTGTCTGTCGACCACATGTGTCACCAACCATCACTCCTAAAGTACAAGCAATGACCATAGCTGCCCTTCTAGATCCCATCCTGGGTAAGCAGTAATTCACATAATTGCCATATGATTTTTATGACCTTTTCATAAAATGCAGTGATGACTCTACAAGAGCGATGTTCAAAATCAAGCCACTGGTTGAGAATTCTTCACAAAGTATCTGTTTAAACATCCATGCTTCCATGGCCATACTGGGTAAAAAAGCAGTTGCACACTTTGATGTTTCCTGAAGAATTAGTACACACTATAGGTATATGGAGCGACATACATGATCTCGCAGCCAGACAACACTGTTTTCTCATATAAATGTCTCAATAAAGACAGATGTTTCTCCTTCAAGTGGATGAGATCCGAAGTAGATATGGCTGAAGAAGATAACAATGAACTCCGTTGATGTAGATCCTGTCTGTAAATGATTCTCCCAACTGACTGTGATTAAGTACTGCCAACAGTATGTGATCTACGTGTGATATGATAGCCTGCCTCCATACAGCAGCACCCTGTGGTTTGATTGCATCTCTCTGTAACATACAAGTGAAAAAATCTTTAACCTCAGACTGACTGACTGAGTTTGGTTTTACGCCGCTTTTAGCAATATTCCAGCAATATCACGGCGGGGGACACCAGAAATGGGCTTCGCTCATTGTACCCATGTGGGGATTCGAACCCGGGTCTTCGGCGTGACGAGCCAACGCTTTAACCACTAGACTACCCCACCGCCCCTTCAACCTCAGAATTACCTGCAATGATGAATCGATATTTCATTATTAAAACAAAAGCTACAAAGTAAGATGAAAATCATCAAATTTAGCAATGTTCCAGCAATGGCACGGCAGGGGGCACCTGAAATGGACTCAACACTTTGTTCCATGCAGGGAATCAAACCCAGGTCCTTGGCATAACGAATAAATGCTTTAAGCACTTGACTACCCTATCACCCCTGAACATGAAGTCCACATTACCGGGTATTTGTGAAGTTAATGTGGGATGAAATCCGGAAGTGATTCAGATCTCAGGTGTATTACGCATAATTGAACATGATAAAACAGCATGGAGACTCAGTATGTAAGTTCAATAGTAAAGAATTACATATTAACCTTAAAATCAATGTCATACCCTACTTACCAACTGCACATGAAGTTCAACTTCAATACATAAATGTATGAGCATAACTTAAAAAAAACAGAAATATAACTTATCAAGTAGGCTTGTTCACTAATATATGTACATGTAAACCTCTAACTTGAAGAATCTAAACTTAAAAAACCGGACGCAAAACTTTAAGTAAGTAGATGTAAAATACACACCGCTTATATCAGCTTATCTGAGAACAGATGACCTATGGTAACATACAGTACATCAAAATCTTATCCAAATTATTTGCTCCAGTTTTGGAAATTCGGTCTGATCAATGCAACTGGAAACCAGCAGATACATTGTTAAGCCAGACGGAGTTGCCCCCATTCCTCTATTAATTCAATTGAGTGTTTGCCTGTATTCTGTGTCGTTCACAGCTGACTTCCAACAAGCATCTGTCCACCAACAAACATCTGACTCCCAACAAGCACCTGACCCCAACAAACATCTGACCCCCAACAGGCATCTGACCCCCAACAGGCATCTAACCCCCAACAAGCATCTGACTCCCAACAGGCTTCTGACTCCCAACAGGCATCTGGCACCCAACAAGCATCTGACTCCCAACAAGCATCTGACTCCCAACATGCATCTGACTCCCAATAAGCATCTGACTCCCAACAAGCTTCTGACTCCCAACAGGCATCTGACACCAAACAAACATCTGACTCCTAACAAGCATCTGACTCCCAACAAACATCTGACTCCTAACAAGCATCTGACCCCAACAAGCATCTGACTCCCAACAGGCTTCTGACTCCCAACAGGCATCTGACACCCAACAAGCATCTGACCCCCATCAAGCATCTGACTCCCAACAGGCATCTGTCCCCCAACAAGGTACTCACCATTGAGATTGTCATGGATGAAGCTACTCAACACCAACTTTAGAAATCAGCTCATCACAAATTGCTGTCAATTCCTGATTCTCCTTAACCTGTTATAAACAAATTACCATATTTTAGACACATTACTACTATCATAGCACATTAAACACCTAAATCAAGCAAAACATGTTCTTCCACACCTGTTGCCTTTACAGAATATGGTTGCATGCACATGGAAAAGGCTCCAGTGAACAAAATGTAAACATAATAAAATTACGTCGTTGAGCGAGTTAATTCTGATTTTAACAGCCATCCAGTCTTATCAGAGACAGCCTAGTTATGTAGGAGAGCGTGATGTGACCTCTGCACAAAGAACTGTGGCACCTCCGACAACTGGGCTATACCATGCAGCCCAACACGTGGATGGAGTCTCAACAGTCTGAACTTTCTGTGAGGAGGAAAGTGAAGCCCCTGTGGGATGAGATATGTGGTAACTCTGGTGTTATGGAATGTCTTCAGCTCTGACCACTGATATATATATATGGCCACTCTGTGCCTCTAAACATTCACCATTTTTTAAAACTTGCAATAACTTATATATGACAACTTCTCGCTTTCACTCCCCATGGCAACTTATGTGTCTGAAAGTCCTACCTTTTGTTCTAAGCTTTTCTCCAGACTTGATATCTGTAGCTCAGCTTTCTTGAGGCCAGCCTGTAGCCGTGCCATCTCCGACATGTGGCCCCTCCTCTCCTGTTCAATCTCCAAGTTAGCACTGCTACACAACACACTAGTCAGTCAGGGAGCACAACAGAGTCAGGCAGTGGTGCCATTATGAGTGCCAGCGTAACAAAGTGAATGAGTTGGGTTTTATGTTGCTTTTAGCAATATTCCAGTAATATCACAGCAGGAGACACCAGAAATGGGCTTCACACATTGTACCCATGTGGCACACACTGAAAAGGTTTTCTTCCTGGCAATGAAATCCTTTTCTTGAATTTACTTCGTCGTTTAGAAAACAATTATGTGATCTTTGTAGATTATTATGACATATATAATCCTAAAGTGATATCTTCATCAAATATCTACCGCGACATGTCAGAAACTATATTAAAGACACAATTGAAAATATTTATAGTTTTGCTGGTAATTCAGTGTGCATTCGTATCTAAAAATCACTTACTGGTCTAACTTTTCTTCTGCTTGCTGTTTTAACAACTGTAACTTTTGTTCTGACTTTTTCAACTTGGCTTGATAGTCTGCTACACATTTCTTTAACACTTCTTCATTTTGTAAACAAAGTCAAGGCATAACCAGCTATTTGATGCATCATGTATGAAGAATGATCTCACTTTCATGCTACAGCAGCCTAAAACATATTCAATGTGTGCTGTTCCTTATGAATGAAAATAATCACAGAAAAAGTTTGAAACAGCTCGATGCCAGACTAAGATTTTTTTATTTAACCTTCTATTGACATGACATCATTATCCTCAGAAGTGGCAGGATTGTAGACATGTAATGGATGAAAACATTTTAAAAAATTGTGTTTGCTCAAGATGAATTTTATTTCCATATAACAAGACAACATATTGAAATGGTTCCAACCTGTTTGAATCCCTCCACAACGCCTTTGGTCTTCTCATACCGCTGATGCAGGTTGGAGAAGGCCGTTTCCACGGAGTGAAGGTCATCAAGCACCTGCTCCTTCTCCTGAACAATGTCCTGCAGCGATTCCTGGGACGCGTTATACGTTTTTTCCTTCTCCGCTCGAACACACATACTCAGACAAATGTAACACACATATGTGACACACATACACACACACACACACACACACATATAACACACATGCACATGTATAACACACATACAGACATATAACACACACATGTATAACACATAGACATATACATTATGCATAGCCACATAAATAAATAATACACATACACATATATATAACACAGACATACACACACACAAACATATATAACACATACACACACATATATATAACACATATATACCACACAAACATACACACATATACCACACTTACATACACACATACATATGTCAGGGTTGAGATTGCGATCTGGTAGAATTGGAGATTCTCAATAATTGGTACAATACAAAAGGGGCATAATCTTTCGCTCCGTGCCAGGCCGATCTTTCCTCCTTCCTCGATTAGGGTGACAACTGACAGCCCTGTCAAATGCCATACACACACTCAAAGAAATCAGTAAAGCCTTCATTTAGTGAGACACGAGACTTTACATTAATGTCATATTTATGATGGGACCGCCTCCGTGGTTTAGTGGTATGAGCGTCCGCCCAGAGAGCGAAAGGTCGCGGGTTCGATCCCCGACCGCGTCATACCAAAAGACGTTAAAATATGGTACTTGTTGGTCCCTGTCTGGCGCTCGGCATTAATGGGTACAACAAGGACTGGTCGGCTCGGAGTCAGTATAATGTGTCTGAGTGGGGTATTCATGCTTCACTGCGACATGGTATCTCAGTGGGCTAGAACTATAAAACCAGCTGAAGTCTGGGCTAGTACAAGCAGCCGCACATACACATACACACGCACTCATGCACGTCGTCATATGAGCGAAATATTCTCAAGCTCACGACGTTAAACCCAATTTCACCTCAAATCACATTTATGATGGACCTAAATGTTGCTAATGTCATTTATTGATGGACATAGCAGACATTAGCACTCACAATAAAATGTGATTTTCTAAAATAATCAATATCTTTTCATTTTAAAGTTAAACATTTATTTACAAAAACAATCATAAATAAATACAAAGTAACAATGTTCTATTTTCATTTTGTTTGTGAACATTAAGTTGTACAAACAGTGTGCACTTTTCAATGGAATATGTCATTTTACAGTATATGAAAGTAACTTTTGTTTTTCTAAATATTCACTTAGATTGCAATCTCTACTAGTAGGATCAGATTTGAGCTTCTACTGCTAGAGATTGCGATTGTATAGGTAATTCTATATTATCAGAATCTACTGGTAGAGACTCCGATTGCAATCTCTACCAGTAGGTTCGGAGATTCTACCAGTAGAGACTCCGATCGCAATCTCTACTGGAAGAATCTCCGATTCTACCAGATCGCAGTCTCTAGCCTGATATTTGTCGTAAACATGTGTTAACATGAACTATTGCAAAATGAAAACAAGATTTAGTTGAACTATTTGAGATTAAAATCTCATGTTACCTCCAATGAGATCCTTGGCTAGAATGTCATTATACAGACCTACAAATTGTTTAAGACTAAGGCATTTATGATAAATTGATATCATATGTCCCATTATGAAACAAACAGAAATTATAACAAAATACTGTGAAATGGTCACTCAGAGCCAGCGGCTCTACTATTATGTCCAAATAAACATTGGTTAAACCGTTCATTTGAGGCCATTTAATTCCTCCAAATGAGGCCATTCAAACCCCGAAACGTAAAAGCATTTGGTAGAATATTTAGCAATGTTGGAGCCACATATAATGATAATTCTACTTGTAAAATGTTACATAAAACCAACAGAAATAAAAGTACGTTTGGCACTTTTAGAGCACATTTTGCTGCTATGGAAATCAAGGGCAGCTAATTCAAATGGAGTTAACTTTGATGACCCAATATATTGCAGAATCTGAACCATATCGGATATTTGTATCGCGAGGTACTGTACCGGTATATACCGGTTTACCGGTAATATTGCACAGCCTTAATTAATTACTAACTTCTGGCATCAGTGTGAGGGATTAACATCCTCAACAAGTGTATGAAGTGTGTATTAAGGGTGAAACTAAACATTGGTAACTTGATGCAACGATACAATACACAAAATATTTTTTTCTGTATCAGTACAAAAAGATACACTTGTTGAAATAAATTATTTGCAACACATTTAGTGACTCTCCAGTGTTTTGTTAATTAACGAAAAATGTTTTGTGAACACATTTCTACTAGCTTTTCCTTTTTGAACTTGCTCTGAAATATTTTTGGTCAAGAATATTTATGGGATAAAAGATGGAAATAATGGGATACAGGAAGCAAATACCAATAACTATTTGGGATAAATATGAAACTGCATGAGGAAGGAAATACCAATAACTGCATAGGATAAAGGAAAGAAATACTAAAGCAATATTTGTTGAATGAAGCAAATACCAATAACTGCATGGGATAAAGGAAGAAAATACTAATAAATGAATGGGATAAAGGAATGGAATACCAATCACTGCATGGGATAAAGGAAGGAAATACCAATCACTGCATGGGATAAAGGAAGGAAATACCAATCACTGCATGGGATAAAGGAAGGAAATACTAATAAATGAAATGGATAAAGGAATGGAATACCAATCACTGCATGGGATAAAGGAAGGAAATACCAATCACTGCATGGGATAAAGGAAGGAAATACCAATCACTGCATGGGATAAAGGAAGGAAATACCAATCACTGCATGGGATAAAGGAAGGAAATACCAATAACTGCATGGGATAAAGTAATGGAATACCAATAACTGCATGGCATAAAGGAAGGAAATACCAATACCAATCTTGTTAATAACTTACACTTATATCGCCTTAAATGGTATGAAGTGAATGTCCATAGTACCTAAGTATATACACAAACAACTTAATTAAGCACCCCTGTGTTTTTTTAATGATAGGTTTTCAACACATACATAAAACCTTTAGTGGTGACCACGATGGAAAAACATGAGTTTTTCTGACCTGTATGATCCTTTGACTCACAAAAGCCGACAAAATGATTGGAATCCATGTTGATTTTATGATGACAATATTGCTCATTTTAAAAAAACCACTGATTTTCAGACAAAACGATGTCTGTACAAGTATGGCCCTGAAATGTTTAATGTTGAATTTATTGGTGAATGTGAACATTCAAAATGTCAATTTGCATGTCTTACATGATTCAATGTCAATACTGAGTGTAACCTCCATGTGACTGTATGACAACCAGCACTCTCCTCCTCGTACCCCCTGTCAGCCCCCTGATCCTCTGAAGGGACAGTCCCCATTCCTCATGTAAAGCAGCTTCCCACTGGGCCAGGTTCCGTACAGGAGGACTCCTTTGTTGTACACGACAACCAATCATGCCCCAGATATACTCCAAAGGGTTAAGATCGGGGCTCATTCAATTGTGAGATATGTCAGGGGGTGCTTAACTAAGTTCCTTGCGTATATGTACATGTATTGCAGTGCCAAAAATTCATTTGAATTAGCATAATAGGTTCTAGTCATTTTATGTAATTTAGAATGAATATTGACATAAGGAACAAATCAAACTGCTTCGTTCTCATCTTCTAATATGTAAGAAATATCGGGGCAAAGCTGACCATTCATTTCCAGGAATCCATGCCACGATGTATTGTGCAATATGTTGTAGAATACCTGTTATGTTCTTGTTGGTATGTATTTGTAGTATGTCAAGTTCTTAGATGAATTCCTGAAACAACTGGCTAGACACAATGCATTGATAGTTGCCATGTTTGAATTTATTCAATCTTCACCTTCGATGTTTTGTTGTGTATGTATTGGATCAGTACAGTTTATTGTCTTATTATCATTTGTTATATTGGTGAAACCCAGAAACCGCCATTGGGGTTCCCACCCGTGAAGGTCTGGGTTAGAATTTATCTTCAGTAACCCATGCTTGTCGTAAGAGGCGACATGGCCGTATCCACACATAAGATGTTACGGGTATACGGGCAAGGCTTTCAGTTTTTTAGCTGGTCGGTCCTCCTGTTCGGGAGAAGGCATGATTTCTGTCAAGACAGAAGATGGGTTTGCAATATACAAATTAGTCCACGAGAAGGTTCAGCTTATGAAGACAAACACACATTTGAAACATCATGGAAGGACTACACATCGATCAGGTATGAGATAAATGTTTATCCAGAGGTGAATGAACACATATTCACATATTCTCAACAGGAGACTGACAATCTAATTTTTACTGAAACCAGATGTTTCACTATATTTTAGAAGTTGATAGGGATGGGGGTAGTGCAGTTTTTTCATGACATACAATGTATATTCCCAAATTATTCATACCAAATGAAATGTTCCGGTTTAAGACTATTCTTACCTTGTGAAAACGCTGAGGTTGGATGATTGATTATTACATTTTCACAAGAAATGTTTTTGAACGGACCCTTCAGCCATACACTGGTGTATCTTAACATTTTGCAAATACGGTATCCCATGCGCGTTTCGAAACACAAATGGTAGGGGTTTTATTCATAAGTTAAGGTTCTGTGAAAGAATGGTTGAAGAGGAATGTTTCACTATATTGACATGATAATCACACGTGTTATTTTTCTCACAATCAGGACCTCTGTCACTGCCAGGTGTTCGTGTACACAGACGGCGTAAGAAGAAGAGGAACACCGGGTGTCACGGAGGTGAATTCGTTTCCAGTACAAGGTGCGTTTACTCTGAACCGTACAGTACAAGTACCTTCTTCATTACATGTCATGATTACTTATCGATGGATGGGACGGCATCACGGAATGCTAGTGATTGTTATGTTGGTGCTGCTGCTGCTGTTGCTGGAAATGATGAATATGCTGAACTGTACGATGACTGCGCGGGAAGAAACAACGAATACACGAAACTGCACCGTGATGACACAGAATCATATGGTGGCGGTATTTATGAAACTTTGAAACCAGTTACACGTGTACGAGAGACACGTGCAGCTAAGGGACAACTACTGTAGTCACGGTATCACATGTATTTCAATAAAACATCAAAAGGAACACGGGTGACGGGGTCATCCGAGGAATCGCAAATCGCTGTGTAGAGTTGCGCCTCTGGCACGCCAGGAACCTATGATCATGGGATCGAATCCCGGTTTGTCACGATTGTTTCTAGGTCTGTAACCACCATACCAGTGCGCATGGTTTTTACCGAAGTGCTTGACTCCAAAGACCTGCATCATTTCGGTCTTTTCCTCCCACATTACGCTGGAACGCCCTGATGTAACGGGAATATTGTTCAACGCGGCGTCAAAACGTACTCACCTATATATACACAACAATGCTTGAGGCGTTGATATATATTCTTGTTTTATTTTATCATACCTCAGTAGTTCGAGCAATGGTTATACTCCATTGTCTGACATTTGTACATAAAGACTTTATCGTTTAAATATATCCTTTTCGTATTTACATTCATATATATGCGGCGTTGTTTCGTTGTTGGAGTTTTACATTTACATTTACTTATTAGTATATATACGTGCTGTTTACTTGGGTATTTGTTCCGTATCGACTCAAATGACAAACGAAAGGGTTATCTTGTGTTTCGTGTCAAAATGTTTTGATTTAAGATACTACACTATACTCTCCAACAAAAGTAACTGATTTATTACGCACTTGTATTAACGTATTGTAATTGTTACACATTTGTTTACTTATTTTCATGGCAAAAGTCGAACAGCCCTTCGTTTAAACAACACTTGTCTGATCAGCTGAGGGAATTTTTTTTGTGGCAATGAAATTCAATGGTTGACATCATCAAGTACTGCGCTTTGCTGGGTAGTTAAACGTTCGCTCGTCAAGCCGAATGCTAGGGTTCGAGTCCGAACAAGGATGCACTGTTGAAGCCAATGTCCGATTTGCCGGTGATATTAACTAATATTGTTAAAGCAGAGAAAAACATATTCGCTCATCCACCTTTCCAGTCACTGAATGTTATCAGCCCGATTCAGCAGTTTGTAAAGTTTAGAATTTGAGGATTAAAAATGTTGTGTCAAATAACTCTGAAAGGGTTACGATAAGTCATCAGCACGAATAAATACATGAGAAAACTCTAGAAGGTTTGGGAGAATATGGTTATCGAAAAATATAATGTCATCAATACACACAGGTAATATATAAAAATATTAGTCAGCATTTTACTTCACCGGTAGATTGAGTGTTAAGCCCAATGGAATCTGTTTCGAGACTGAATGTTTTCTGGCCTTGGCGCTTCCTACTATAGCGTTGATATTAATAACTGTTCAAAACGCGAGCTTTAGGGCGAAATTTTGATTGACTTACGGCACATAAACTGATGACATAGAATATGTACTTCATGCCGGAATGATATACTTAAAAGGTCAGGTGAGGGCGCATGGGCACCCTGAGCAGTTGCCCTACCATCACATGGGCACCCTGAGTAGTTGCCCTACCATCACATGGGCACCCTGAGCAGTTGCCCTACCATCACAAGGGCATACTGAGTAGTTGCCCTACCATCACATGGACACCCTGAGTAGTTGCCCTACCATCACATGGGCACCCTGAGCAGTTGCCCTACCATCACATGGGCACCCTGAGTAGTTGCCTTACCATCACAAGGGCACCCTGAGCAGTTGCCCTACCATCACATGGGCACCCTGAGTAGTTGCCCTACCATCACATGGGCACCCTGAGTAGTTGCCCTACCATCACATGGGCACCCTGAGTAGTTGCCCTACCATCACATGGGCACCCTCATCAGTTGCCCTACCATCACATGGGCACCCTGAGTAGTTGCCCTACCATCACATGGGCACCCTGAGTAGATGCCCTACCATCACATGGGCACCCTGAGCAGTTGCCCTACCATCACATGGGCACCCTGAGTAGTTGCTCTACCATCACATGGGCACCCTGATCGGTTGCCCTACTATCACATGGGCACCCTGAGCAGTTCCCCACCATCACATGGGCACCCTGAGTAGTTGCCCTACCATCACATGGGCACCCTGAGCAGTTGCCCTACCACATCACATGGGCACCCTGAGTAGTTGCCCTACCATCACATGGGCACCCTGAGTAGTTGCCCTACCATCACATGGGCACCCTGAGCAGTTGCCCTACCATCACATGGGCACCCTGAGTAGTTGCTCTACCATCACATGGGCACCCTGATCGGTTGCCCTACTATCACATGGGCACCCTGAGCAGTTCCCCTACCATCACATGGGCACCCTGAGTAGTTGCCCTACCATCACATGGGCACCCTGATCAGTTGCCCTACCATCACATGGGCACCCTGAGTAGTTGCCCTACCATCACATGGGCACCCTGAGTAGTTGCCCTACCATCACATGGGCACCCTCATCAGTTGCCCTACCATCACATTGGAACACTGAGTAGTTGCCCTACCATCACATGGGCACACTGATCAGTTGCTCTTACTTCATCACATGGGCACCCTGAGTAGTTGCCCTACCATCACATGGGCACCTGGAGCAGTTGCCCTACCATCACAAGGGCCCAATGCTAATCAATGTATGTTGTGATTTGCTGTCAACAAGTCAATATACACTGCACTGACCCGGGTCATCGGCGTTAAAAGCCAACGCTTTAACCACTGGGCTACCCCACCGTCCCCATAGTTTGGTAAAACGTTTTGTCCTTCACCTTTTTGATAATAAACCTGCGCGGTGTGATCTTTGAAATTCAATATTTTCAAGCAATATAACCGTGTTCCTAAAATCACCATTTTCTCCTCAAATCCACGCACAAAAAACTAAAACAAATTCATTATTAAATGATGTGGTGACGCGCACCAGTGAAGGTCCGTTTGACATCATGTAAATCGATCTTCGTATGGGACACGATGACCTGCACCGACAAAGTCAACGCGCGTAAAAAACCAAACCCGCAAGCGAGAGGTCAGCTTTGTTTGCGGGTCACAATCTATCATTGACGTTTTCATAGGCAGGCCCTGTTTTTTCTTTGTATTTTGTCCCTGAATTTTCATTCACATGTTACACTTTTAAATGGCATTGTGTATTTATACATAAAAGGGGTATTTTTTTCATTAGAAAAGTTTGGTAATACATTTTCAAAAACATGGGAACGGTTTTTATGTTTGTTTCTTACCATTAAATAGTAACAACTGCGATCTATTTTGTTTTTGGAACGGGAAAGGTGGACGTAAAAATGCTGCGAATATGCACACTCCATGCATTTGTCATTACACCCCCTCGTCCCATTAACCGGCATGTGTTCACACGGTCTCAGGAAATGCCGATGAAACAAACATGTTTTGTGAATCATCTGTACAATACCCGTGAAGACCCTGGTTAGATTTGGTCTTCAGTAACCCATGTTTGTCGTAAGAGGTAACTAACGGGACTAGGTTGACACATGTCATCGTCTCCCTGTTGCGTAGATCGATCCTCATGCTGTTGATCACTGGATTGTCTTGTCAAGACTCGATTATTTACAGACCTCCGCCACATAGCTGGAATATTGCCGAGTGCATCGTTAAACGACAAACCAATCATCTGTACAACAGATCAGCCTGGTTACACTAACAGAACACAATGAATCACAAACACCTTGAACCAGTGACCAAATGCATCCGTGAGGCCCATGTCTCTGTTCAAACTACAAAGTTTAGGGACATGGTTTTGTATTGACAGGATCGTACTTTTTGATACGTCATTAATTCAAATTGCAGGGCTTCTCGATGTTTTACAAAGATAAGCGGATTAGGAATCCTAGTCAATATGTTTGGACGCTATGTACTGTATTTCATTGATGCTGGTCCCAAACGTATATCACTTCGTTTAAACCCACGCGCACACCATGGTGCCGACAAACTTAGAAGCATAGGAAACAGGGATACGAACCACCGAACAATTGTGTCTGACAGGTATAAGGGACACAACTCGCACATCGAATTCAGTCACCTTAGACGAGGCCGTCCATGCTCAAGTATAATATGAGTAGCATTGAAGTGAACAGCTCGCTTATACCTGCCGATTATCAGCAAGCATTTATGTCACTATAATTCCAGCGGTGTGTTTTCCTCCCGGTGTACCCATCCACGGGTGTCTCTCCACTGGTGTAATCGTGTAATCAAGTCAGCCCGAGATAGAATGTATTGAAACTGCAACGAAAGACCCCTGAAATAACTTCCGGGTTGATTTTTGTATCGGGGCAGGTTGTGAATGTATTGAAAAGAGGTCAGTGCACAAACACGTTGTTCTTTTTTGGTCTTGAATTAAAAATAACTAATAACTCTGCCCTCGATAAACCTCACGAAACCATATTTATATAACGCGTTCATGTCAGTAGCGGAGGCGGTTGGATTACACCCTAAATCACCTGAAATCTTAAGTAGTGCCTTGGCTGTGGAGAGATTGTATCAGCAGCGAAGCCCGAAATATGGAGTAATTGTCGTTTGTGTTAAACACGTTGTTAATGAGACAAGTGATGTTCCGTGTTTACATCACTGGCAAGGACGGCGTAGCCAAGAGGTGTAATCTCGGAGGGGATTACCAGCTGGTTGTCAAGGACTCCAGTTTGTGTCTGTGTGGGGTGAAGCTGCACCAGGTCATATATGAATGGCCGTACCCAGACATAAGATGTTACGGGTATACGGACAAGGCTTTTAATTTTGTAGCTGGTCGAGCTTCAACTTCTGGAGAAGGCATGATTTCTGTCAAGACAGGAGATGGGTTCGCAATAAACGAAGCAGTCAACGAGAAGGTTCAGCTCATGAAGAAAAACATGGATCTTGAGTCACGTGGAGGTACGGATCGCGTGTATGGTCCGTGTGATTGGTGTGATCTCTCTCTCTCTCTCTCTCTCTCTCTCTCTCTCTCTCTCTCTCTCTCTCTCTCTCTCATCTCTCTGTGTTCTGTAATGAGTGAGAGAACGAAACGACTGGGTCATGTTCACCTTATGTAACGACACAACTCGTGTTGTGGTGGTGGGTGTTCTGTATTGACTGTCCCCGGAGTAGGCTATTACATTTCCCCCCAGGGCATCCTGAATGGTGTAAACGTCACTTCATTTGATTATATTTATTTTTGGTCCAGTGTGATACTTCGATATTCGCTGTGTTCTTTCCAGAAAACCCAACTCCTCCCGCAGATGGATCTGGAGATGACCGGCCTGAGTACACGGACCCGTACAGTGTGGAGACCCAATCTACAGACGAGGCTGAGTACACGGACCTGTACAGCGTGGAGACCCAATCTACAGACGAGGCTGGGATGTATGTGAACCAGTAACAGCGGGGAAAGTTTCTGATTCTGGGGTAATTTATCAGTACATGTACGTGAAACATATATGTAATGTACATGTATCTTGTGAATACTTGGAACTAAACAGTGAACACTTGTCAGTATATGGTAAATACATGTAACTGAATCGAGAACATATGGAGCTGAGGAGATTGACAAAAATATCTGAATGGTGAATACATGGAACTAAACGGTGGATACATGCAACTGAATGGTGAATACATGGAACTAAACGGTGGATACATGCAACTGAATGGTGAATACATGGAACTAAACGGTGGATACATGCAGCTGAATGGCGAATACATGGAACTAAACGGTGGATACATGCAGCTGAATGGTGAATACATGGAACTAAACGGTGGATACATGCAGCTGAATGGTGAATACATGGAACTAAACGGTGAATACATGGAGCTGATCGATGAATACATGGAGCTGAACGGTGAATACCCAGCACTGAACACGGTGGGTATATATGGATCTAAACGGGGAATACTTGGAACTGAACGGTGAACTCACGATACTGAACGGGGAATACATGGAACTAAATGGTTATTACATGGAGCTAAAAGGGGAACACATGTCTTAATGCTGAGTACAAGGGTCTGTATAGTGAATACATCAACTAAACCTCTGTAAAAGATTTAAAAGACAACAGAAATACGTATCTCTAACCTCGTTAATTAAGTCCCTGGGCCTAGATTTTCGAAGCTCTCTTAGCCCTAAGATAGTCGTAAGTGCCATACATTAACATTACCTTACGACCTTTAGCGCTAAAGAGAGCTTCGAAAATCTAGGCCCTGAAGAGGTTACAAGTCGACGATGTCAAGACGATATCGAATGTATGCTGGAACGTTAATAGACTAAAAAGAAAACTTAATAAGTGTAAAAAAAATACATTATGTATCATCCTTTGATATTTTTGGACTGTTAGAAATATGGGAAAACTGTAAACTATCTGATATCGAAGACAAATTCCCAGATCACTTGATATACACTAATTACAGAGATTTTAATCACAGAGGTGGTGTAACTGTTGGACTTCGTCGTACATTACAACAGGGAAAACTTCGTGTCGTCACTAGGTATACAGATATGGTTTGCATCATTTTAGACAAGTCTGTTTTCCATCATCAGAGGCATCTTCTATTGAACTATGTTTATGTTTATCCCAGCACCTCTTCAAGTTCTACTGACATGAGATCATGTAAAGGTATGGACAAATATATGTTGAACAATGCTTAACAGAAATACTAATTGAATATCCAAACTGTGACGTCATACTTGAAGGGGACTTCAACGCGAGGACGGGTCATTTATTTGACTACATCATAGAAGACAACAACCGACACATTCCAAGTATTGAAGACATGGAGTATGCATCTGACTCTTTCGACATTCCTAGAAAATCGAGAGATGATATAACTAACACATTCGGAGAAGATCTCATTAATTTGTGTTGCACTTTTGGTATGCATATGCTGAATGGGAGATTTCCGGGAGATAAATGGGGATCATTTACTTGTTTTAAAGAGAATGGCTGTAGTTGAGTAGATTATGTATTACGTTCAACTAGCTTGTTTGCTAATATTGTTTTAATGAGCACACTAGAGACGAGTCGGATCACTATATCATGTCCTTTAACTCCAAGCAGTGATACTGCTGACGACGGAGAGGGTTGCAACATTCCGCGATTTCATTAGACAATGAATTTCAGTAGACAAACTGACAACAACGTTAACTTTACAAACATGTGCAGTGACCAGTGGCTTACAGTCAAGGTACAACCTGTCATATAAACCAAAACCCAACTTGTGGTATGATGATAAATGTGAACACTTAAAAAAGAAGAAAATGTTAAATCTAAACGAATTCAGACTAACAGGAGATAGAGACCAGTTACGTGAATACTGTAGAGCGAGGAATAGCTATATGTCTATATGTAGAAAGAAGAAAACTGAACTTGAAAATAGTGAAGTTAAATATATTGTGAACTTGTGTTCTAAAAATGACAACAAAACTTTCTGGAGTAAAGTCAAGTCACTGACAGGGTCTCAAAGCCAGTCTAACACCATCATGTCGACACAGTGGACGGACTGTTTTATGAGTGTGTGTAATATAACTGATATAGCTGTCGACGATGAGATGATTGAGGATGCTAAAACATTGTTTGACGTTATTGGTGGATTGGATTGTGTCGACTGTGATATCGATGTTGACATTGATCATGATGCTGACTGTATCATGTAACATTGTTTGACGTTATTGGTGGATTGGATTGTGTCGACTGTGATATCGATGTTGACATTGATCATGATGCTGACTGTATCATGTAACATTGTTTGACGTTATTGGTGGATTGGATTGTGTCGACTGTGATATCGATGTTGACATTGATCATGATGCTGACTGTATTTTAAACGGTGATATCTCCCCAGAGGAGATTGAAGCAGCAGACTAAAATGATTATTTGTTGTATCCATTTGTTATCGCCTCATTTGGTGTTGATTTATAATCATGTTCTCAGCTCCGGTATATATCCACAGGAATGGGCGAAAGGAATTATAGTGCCCCTACATAGGAAGGGTAATGTAAATACAGTTGATAATTTTCGTGGTATTTCGCTCATGGATGTTTTGGGTAACTTATTTTGCATTGTCATTAATAATCGTCTTCAAATTTTGGCAGACTGTTATGATAAGATTCCAGAGGCTCAAGCTGGATTTCGTAAAGGTTATAGTACGACAGATAATAGTTTTACTTTACAGTGTCTTGTTCAGAAATATCTTTCGAAAACTGGAGGTCGTTTTTATTACTTATTTGCTGTTTTTCGAAAGGCCTTCGATTCAGTCAATAGAACATTATTGTGGTATTCGCTTTTTAAACAAGGTATTCGGGGAAGATTATTTTCAGTTTTAAGAAATATGTATTCTAAGATTTTGGCTTCGGTCCGTCTCAGTCATTCGTCTATCGGTGATTACTTCGAATCAGTGAGTGTTGTCCGGCAAGGTTGTGTTCTAAGTCCATTTCTTTTTGCGATGTTTATAACGGAATTTCAAGGTATGTTATAAAATTCAGGTCTTAGGGGTATCTTTATTGGTTCAGATTATATGGATGTATTGTTATTGTTGTATGCAGATGATCTTAATTTATTTGATGACACTGTTATAGGTTTGCAGAAGTTCCACATAAATATTGTAGCTCTTGGGGTTTAGAGGTAAATATGGATAAGAGGGAGATGCTGGTATTTCGTAATGGTGATTTTCTTCATATGAGAAGTGGTTTTATAACGGTATTCCAGTTAAGACGTCAACATATTAGTTATCTTGGTGTTCTATTTTCTACTAGATTGTTATATACCCTTGTTAGTAAAGCTAGTAAGGCCGTCTTTGCTTTGAAGTCTTTGTTTATAAAATATCCAAGTATACCTGTAAAGTTAATGTTCAAGTTGTTTGATAGTAAGGTTAAACCTGTGTTATTATATGGGTCTGAAATCTGTGGGTTCGAGGAGAGGAAATCGGTTGAAATCTTTCACACTAACTTTTGGAAATATGTTCTTGGTGTAGTTAAGCAGGTTTCTAGTAATGGGGTTTTAGCAGATGGCGGTAGGTTAAATATGTATGTTGATTATCATGTCAGATGTATATTTTGGTGTAAATTATTGAGGATGTCGGAGGATCGTTATCCAAAACAGTCTTATTTACTCATGAGGAAATTAGATTTAGCTGGTAGGGTAACGTGGGCTACTTCTGTTAAATATTTGTTAAGTTCCTATGGGTTTGGTTTTGTTTGGTACAGTCAGGATGTTGGTGATATTTCTCAGTTTATATATAGTTTTAAGAATAAACTAATTGATTGTGATAAACAGCATATTTTTGGTAATATAAATCAATCTTCGCATTTGATGTACTTTAAAGAAATTAAGTCACTTTTAAATGTTGAATATTGTGTAAATTTCATCAACCAAGTAACTGTTAGAAGAAATATTTACCTTCTTAGATTAAATTCCCTCCCTTCACGGTGTAATATAAGGGTGTGTATGTCGATACGTATTGTAGAATGTGTGAAGATCTGGTGAATAAAAATGTTTTACATTTTTTGTTTGAGTGTACTGCTTACAATGTAATAAAAGATAGGTATGTTCCTGTAAATAGTCAGTTAAATTTAGTCGCTAATTATCATAATATATTAACTAGTTATTGTAGATATACCCTTGTAAATTGTTCTAATTACAGCAAAGAAGCTCTTGCTTGTAGATAAATGTTACAACATTAGCCATTTTGTACAGTTTCTCCTATTCCTCGAAAATGTACTCTTATTTGCACGTATTGTACATGAGCCGATGGCCTACAAACCGAAATAAAAGAAGAATATATACTTATCGAGCAGGGCATGGATCTGTCCCCTCGTGTCTCAAAGAGCTTACAGTGCAGTATGTCCCAGCAAGAACGCCTCGGAGAAATCAACAATGCTTACTGGAGGTTCCGAAAAGAAAGTATAGGATCTCCTGCTCCAATGAATCTGGAACTCACTCACTCCGTAGTGAAATCACTGCCAACAGTTCATTCCTCCACATCTTTGCATAAAACACATCTTACCCTTGAAGATCCGGGTTAGAAGTGGCTTTCAGCAATCCATGCATGCTTGTCGTGAGGGGCGACTTCGTAATAGGCGACTAACGGGATCGGGTGCTTAGACTCTCTGACTTGGTTGACACATGTCATCGTATTACCCATTGCATAGATCGATGCTCATGCTGTTGATCACTGGATTGTCTGATCCAGCGCTATTCCTACTGACAGTAGTTATAAGCACAGCCCAGTGATACGAAACTAAATATGAAACTAAAATAATAACTCCTGCTTTGTCTGTTAGTTAAGGTTCATACATTTCATAATAATGTTTATCGCTATACAGGCTCATATAACGATACTTTGTGTTGTTCTGTGGCGCGAGATTATGGCCGGATGTATTGCATATATGTTTTTGTTTCACATTTTATTAAA